ACACTATCCTGGCCCTGGACAAAAATAGTCACAAGTAATAAATGTATAAAAATAATAACTGATGTCCATTAATGCAAAACCAACATAATATTTCAGCGTCTATCGCAAATGACTCTCATCTTATGAGTTCGCCTTTAAGGAAAGAAAAATCCAAACAAATGTCGGCTCGGAAGAAGAGAAAAAAAAGTAATAGGCAGATCAGTCAAGAAATTCTGGATTACGAATAAAAGAATCATTGAGTACCAAATGAGATAGATTTATGAAAACCGCATGATAGAGCCTTTTGCACGACAGTTGAGCGGAGTTGAGGCGTCAAATTCTTGTCAACACGATCATGTCTCATGAAGACACCAAGTGACAAGCCCTAAGCTGAATCTGAAGTAAAGTGGTCTTCCTCAGACTTCTCACCTGCATCGAAGACAGTCTTATCGGTGGGCATAATCAGGCGTAAACCTAATTACAACTCCTGTAACCAAGGGCAGTAATGATACTATTTGAAACTTAACCCGAGCCTCTAAGAAGGGACCCAGTTGAGGATAAGACACGAAAAGAGCAAAAGAAAACTGAAGAGTACACTCAGACTGTGGGTGAGATACGAATGGAAGACGATCATAAGCTTATGTTTTAGCAAAGCGAATGCCGTACGCGCGCTGTTCGTGCGAATGGATGGGTTACATAACATTTGTTTATTATAATTTTTATTTCTTGTGATGAACAGAGTGATTGTAAAAAACTGCATTTGAGGTAGGTCCCACAAGTTTTATGGTCGTGCTTCGAGATCAGCACTCACTTTTTGTGTATGGCCTTCTATCAACAAGAAATCGTCTTAGTTATGCATGAATAGGAAAAAGAAATAACACGGAGCGTAGACAAGGATAACTAATTTATGGACCAGAACCAATTCACTGAGGCATAATTTGATTTATTGTCATTGTTGTGGGTGTAAATAGAGACGGGTTTGCGAAAATATTGGCAGCAAGATAATTTGAAGACAAAACAAATTACAGCATGCTGGAGATAGCAAAACTCAAGAGTTAATCAACATAACCCGAAGACAAGAGTCATGCCGACCTGTTTGATCTCCTTCCAAAGGCCAGAAATGGACTACATTGGCAGAGTGCAAGCAACAGTTGTGATATTCAATGAAGGCGTACATGGCACATTTGCTGCCAAGCATACAACAAAAAATGCAGTTTTGCAGGAAGCTGCCAGTAGATTCTACAACTTTTGGTACAGAAAAGGAGTACTATTCTTGGATATGCAAATCTAACCAAAGGCTCCTAATTAGATAGTCCTTAACACCAGCCCCCTAACTTGTCATCTCAAGTCAGTCTTCGCAATGAAAAAAACTTTGGTACATGCTAAGCGAAAGATTTACATTAAAGCTACATGTTTAGATCTACAAGGTCTCTTGATAGTCTTATAATAAGGTATGGAAATAAACGAGTTACATTAGATATATTTCTAAGCATACTTTCCATAAGCTAAATAATTAGACCTTTGGTGTCGACATTTGTTCTGTCTGCCTCGGCTCGTCGATCGGATAGATTCTTATAAGCTCGGCAGAAAGTTGATAATGCACCCAGGCTATGCGGAAATAACAAAAGGGAGGCTTAGTAAAGGACAAAGTGTCAAATGCATTTGACGAGGTCTTCAACAAAATGACTAAAATGCAGAAGCGAGGTCAAGCGGAATTTATGAGGTGAAATAAGACTACGATCAAGCCAGAAACTAAACAACGTAGGCTTTTATTGCTATGCCGATATGCCCGTGGGCTGATGGAAAGCCAGGACGGCAAAGTCAAGTTGTGCTCAGAGATCAGTCAGAATAAGTGATAGTGAAATCACTAAATAAATCTTAAATAATGATAAAGATTACTGATTCAAATAAGCCAATGAGAATGATTTCTTATTGCTTCCAGGTGAAGAGGTGAAGAATAAAGGCCATCTATGATTGGTTATGTGAAATTATAAAAATTTCAGATCATTTAAGGGCTTTCCATACAATGATATGAAGAAAGCTTACAATTTAGTTGAATTTCACTAAGCCTTGTATCCTTAAAGCACTTTTTCATCCAGGTTGAAGTCATTGATATTGTGTGGCTTAATCATACTATGTCTGCAAAAACCTTACAATCAATCACTAAGATACCTTGAGTAAATCATGGTGAGCTAATTGAACTTCAATTGCACCATGAGACTTACCAATATAATTGTCGCAAAAACTCAACTATCGGTCCTTAAGTGTCATAGTGAGGATGTAGGGTCTCAAGAACCTACTTAAAAACAAATGGTAGGGTGACTAAGTTCCTTTTTAAAAGTTACATATAGTTTCGAAACATAGTCACATAAAAAAAAGTAAAATTAACCTTGTTGAAGGAGACTTTCATTTCGTATGAAAGTACATGATGAAGAGACTCGAAGGTCGATCTCACCAAAAGACGACGGCTGATTATCTTATGCTGCAATCGTTTGGCATTAGTACGACCTTCAGATTGACGCAGTCCACAAGACATACTCTCTCGTTCCGAGTGAAAATGGGCTGAGTTTTCTTCCATCTAATGGCATAGATCATCAGAGCTGAAATTCATGTAAAAATCTCACGTGAATACTAGATGAAGAAGACTGTTCTCTTTTGATATTCTTGACCTAGTATTAGCATGAGAGTTTTATCTGAGAATGAGTTCCAGCACTAATGATGTCCAGTATATGATGGACGAAAGGTTAGCCCATTTTCACTCGGAACGTGGGAGGATGTCTCGTAGACGGCGTCAACCTGAACGTAGTAGTAAAGTCAAACAGCTGCAGTGCAACAAGAAGCAACAGTAGTCTTCTGGTTCGACATAACTTCTAATCTATTCAGCATGCATCGTATATGAACTGAAGGCCTTCACAACAATATTATCTCAGTCGAAGGTATGCAGACTAAGATGATGTGGCTTTAGTATGGTCGTTATCTCCTTTTGTTGAATACAAGT